AGTAAAATTAAAGAGAAAGATGAGCCACTGGACCTATCCAGAGGAAATGAAGGAAGAATGATAGCGGACCTGGAGAACAGTACCTTTGTAGGTATTTTCCCTAAGATTAATTGCATTAATTGCATTAACTGTGTCTACAATTAGAGGAGCTCAAGGCAACATGCTTAGATGTGAATGTGGCAAATACATATGCTTATCAGTTTCCTCTGGCAGTAAGGTTCACAGTTAATCACATATGACATTAAAAAACTACTTCCTTTTATTGTTTTGCATTTTATGTATTATGCTGTGAGAGAGGGAAAAACAGTGTTCATGAAGTATCATGAACATGATGGCAACAACACACCTGTAATTGTACTTTGACTGTTTGCACCACCATTCTCAGCTTTGCTGTGTCCCGCAGAACTTGTGACTGTCAGTATACAAAGTTCTTCAGGTGTGGTCATGTTATGTGATTGTTATATTGATATTGTTATGTTATTGGCATTGCAGACTAATGTATAATCATCCTCCTACTATTTATGAAACACAACATATGATTCGATTGGAATTTTGAGTAAATGTGGACAGTCAACAACAGTCCTCTTGGGGGTCTCTGGTTTCTGACTCCATTCTTTGCATTAATTTAGAAGCTTATAAGGGAAAAGAGTATTTTAATTTTTTTTTTACTCATGTATGTTGCTTACCAGTTCTTCAATTTGAATTTCATTTGCTAGTGTGTTGATTTTTTCTCTCTCCACTTTAGGTCTTTCTCACATTTCTCACTGCCTGGTCCTCACAAACTGACTAGCGTTGTGTCCTGTGCAAATGCTATCAATAAACTACATGTCCATTGACCAGATCATTAAGAAATAAGTTACCCATGACTTGAATATGAAGCTGGATTATAATCTTAGGCCAGGATTCATCCCATTTCAATTGGGGCACTTAATTCAAGTTGGGCTGATAAAGGTCTAAAGGCCTTATCACTGAAAAGAGAGTCGTCTCGAGAGGTGATTTAACCCACCCCAGAAATGGTCAAATCACCAGGTGTGTTCAGTGATGATTTACAGATTTTAGTAATAATCACTGCTTACACAAATACACAAACGTATTTGTGATGAATCTAGACCTTATTTCTTGCTGTGATGAAAACCATCTAATCTAATCTAATCTAATCCTAATATTTTTTCGTTGCTTCCAGATACATTTTTAACACATTGCAACCTTTCATTTTACAGTTGTTTAGTTTCAACCAAAATTTATTATGTGAAATGTAACAGAGAGCTTTTAGAAGACCAGTAATTTTTGTCATCTGGTTATGTTTATTGAAATATTCAAGAAATTATAGATCAGTAAAATGCGATTTTCCTTTGTAAAACCAGTAGTGATTAGACATATTTTACTCCCCAAAGCACTGGAGAGGGTGATTCTTACATAGCAGGATTGTTATCAGCTCAGCAATTCTGTGTTTAAGGTTCTTCAGAACTCTTAAATGCACCTTCTAGCCCTGATATATTCTGTATTCTCCACTGTTGCTACTTCTTGATACCTCACTACCCAAAGAGAAATCATTGTTATTGCCAGAAAAAAATTATAGAGAGCACAAACCTCTTGAATGTTTTGAACAACAAAGATGCATGTGAAAAAAGGACAATCAGTTAGCTTCCAAACAGTGTAATTATCTTCTTTAGAGACTCCCTTAGCCTGTACAAATTCTGCTGTAGGCCTCTTGTTTCTGATACACCTAAGGAATATTTTATTGTTTATTTTTAAAACTTTTTGTGTTTGTTCTTGGAAACCTACTTTTGCTCATTGCAATTTCCTCTTACTTAACGCCTGCTGAAGTTTAAGTTCCTGTTTATTGGCTTCCCTAGGATCATGTTTCCAAAGTTTGAAGGATTTCTGTTTGGTTGAAATAGACTCTTGAACCTTGCCATTCATCCGGTTTAGCTTAATTCTGCCTTCCTGGTTCCCTTTCTTGCACAGTACACAAGACTTCACAGACAGCTCCTTTTCAAGTACTGTTGTTATTGCCTTTGCTGGCTTACACTTTTACTTTTAGGATCTTTATGACTAATCTAAGTTTACTAAGTGTGTGAATTCCACTTAATTTCTTATTTTTTACTGCAAACAATGCACGAGCAACTCAGAAATATGAGCAGAACCCACCAAGAACAAGAGGTAAGACAGAGAAGCCAGTAAGAAGGGAGGAGTACTTACTGTTCCCACTTTTGCTGTATGACTGAACTGAAGGTGAGAGCTACTGCAAACAATGCACGAGCAACTCAGAAATATGAGCAGAACCCACCAAGAACAAGAGGTAAGACAGAGAAACCAGTAAGAAGGGAGGAGTACTTACTGAGAGCTACCTGCAGAACCCCAGTAACGTTGAATGAACCGGTATGTGTCAGGATCTGCACTGATGGCCAGCAGTATTTTCATCCCTGCCTACCATCCACTGCTGATGCTGCAAGGTGATGGCAAAAGTTCTGACTGTAGGTAGGCTATCTATCCACCATGTCCTAACTAACAAGAACCTGGATCAACCTGCTAAAATCCTTATATAATGGTTTGGGTACAAGTGCTATTGCCACAGATACCCTGACAAATCCAGGCTCTTGCAGTTAGTGTTTTGTGAAATCTTGTCAATCTGTAGTAAACTATATCCATCACCTGAAGGACCAGTACCTAGGGCAGCAAGGGCTGCTCTCCATGTTCTGCCTTTCCTTCTGACACAGAGCAATGCTTTTGACAGACAGGTAGCTTCATTGATAGGTAGGAGTTTTGGGCATTAAAGTCATATTTGTCACATTAGAAACAGGAATCAATCTGAAATTAATTAAATACCTAGGGAATTCTTTCTTGTCTTTCATATCTCCCATTTAAGGTTTTCATAGCTGATTTTGAAGGTGTATTCTGTGTGTTCTTCTAAAAACAAAGGTGTACAATGCATCAATGTTTGGAGCTGAATTGAGAAAAAGAAAACCAATGTCAGGGCATGAACTTAACAATACTGTAGAGGGACAAACTTGCCAGCCGCACACAGGATTAGATGACCAGGTTGCTAGACACAAAACTGCACAGAGGCTCCTTTGCCGAGTAGAATAGGACGGGACCAGCAAGTTTGCTGGACTGTGTATATGATGTCACATCTGCAACCCTTTCATCTTGTCTAGGAAAGGAAGAACTTGCACTAGCTGCATTCAACATTTAGTCGAAAAAGAGAGAGCGCTGCAGACATATAATGGAATTGCATCTTCTTTGGCTGGCTCAGTAGTAGATATTACTTTCTAGGTTTTTGGGGGTTCTTTTTTTGCTTGGGAGCACTGGCTTTGTCTTTTTAACATTTGATCTCTGGAGCCATCACGCATGTCTCTGGTGGCGTTCTGTTTCCTTAGAGCACTGCTGGAATTCAGCCAACTCCATGTTTTGGTCACCACCAAAGGCCTATGTGATTCCCATTTCCTCCCCAATCACACATTGTGAGAATGTATTACTCCTGCCTCAGAGAAGTACCAGATCCAACACTGTCATTAATTACTTGTACACAAAACTTCATTGGCTCAGATTAAAAAAAAAAAAAAGAGGTTTTAGTATTTTAGAATACTTTCAGTCATTCTAGGACCTGGAAAATGAAATGCTTTAAGGAAATGTAGCCATTTAGGGTCTTCCACAGCAAGAGGTGAGAAAGAAGAATATTGTCCTTCATTCCCACATATAGGTTATGAATGTCTCTGTGATCCAACAGACATAGAGGCTTCTGATTGTGAGGACAGCACAGTAAGCTGACTGGGCAGAAGAAAAGGGTAAAAGAAGTGCTAGTTCTTCGGATAGTGTTATCGCACATTTCTTTAGTACAGTATTGATGTCAGAAATGGATAGTGCCTATTAAAACTGGATAAGTCTGAATACCCTTTGGAGGACCTCTCACTATCTGCAGGTGTAATGCAGCATGGGTGGTCATGTAGCAACTCTTGATTCTGCAGCTGAATACCTGAGATTTATTCTAGTAGCAAAACTCATAATCTAACAGGTACGTGCTTGTTCAAAGCCAGGTTTTGGACTGTGCACTGAAATGTCTTGCCGAGCTTCTGTAGGTTCGGTTGTAACAGAAGCCAGGCTAGGTGGACACAGTGTGATCCTTCTGTGTCAAAATGTTTAAATGTATGAATATTTAGGCATCCAGGCAAACTGACCCACTTTTCAGAAGTGCTTAGTTCCCACTGCAGTTTAATATACATGGGATCTGCTGGAACTCAACACCTCATAAAATTACACTGCTTTTAATTAGGTGTACAAACAATAGACTCAATCATTTATGTCTCTGAGACAGTATCTTGCAGACCAGTGCACAATAAATTGCACTGAGCCATTTCTAATACTTTACACTCCAGAAAGGTAAGCATTTGGTGTCCAGTCCAGTCCTGTCTGGGTAAGTACCGTCAGTATTATACAGGACTGCAGTTTTCAATAGTACTTGTATTTGCCATTATTTTTTGTTATGATGAATCCTTGAATGACTCGCATATTGAAATGTCAATAATTTAATAGTCTTTTGATTAACAGTGCCTTCTAATGAATGTTTTGTATTTAAAAGCCCACTCTTGCAAACACTTCATGGGTGATTTATCATACTTACCTTTACCTTTCTAAAAGTATGTAGTGAAAGGTACTCATCAAAGTTCCTTCTCTAGTCAGTAGATGGAGAGTCATCGCCATGGGCTGATGCAGAAGTCTGTAAGGTGGATGGATAGAGTTATGTTCCAGAGGTGTCTTTCCCTTTCCATTAATGATGGAATTAATTAATGGGGCGTGACTTAATTTAGTGTATATGCCTTTTTGATGATTCAGTTAGGTGAGATGAATTCTGCCATTTATGCCAGTAGAATTCTTTTCAGTGGGATTGTCAAGATGAAGACTGCTCTAGGTGCCTTACCTTTTTGCAGGGTTGGTCCTGTATTGTTTTCTGTAAAAGATTTGCTGTGTAATTACATTATTGAATGTTTCTTTTTCTGCAGCCAACATCTTGTATATGGCAAGCCAAGAAATGATGAAGGTTGTGGAGAGGGACAGTACAACCATAAAGCAAAATTTAAAGAAGGTAACTATTTAATCTTCAGAGTTTTCATGGGAAGTCTACACGCATGAGGAAATGTTACATCCAGTTATATTTGTGCAAAACCAGAATTCCAGCACGCTTGATTCTGCTTTTATGTTAGTGTCATTCCATTGACTTTGGAGAAGCCATTAAAGGGATCACTGATCATTAAAGTGTCATTGATCCACACCTTTGTAGATGTAGCATTCACCACTATCAGATGTAGTATCCCATCTGGTATGTTTTCCTTGGTGGAAGAGGAACAGTCTGTGTTCTAGCTAAGCCTGAGATGTGGTTCTCAGAGAGGCCAGTAGTTACCTGGGTTCTGATCAGACAGGGAGATGGCCAGCCAGGACATGAATGCAGCCTGATTGACCAAATCCTCTGACTTTGCTGCTGGACAGGTCTAGCAGAACATGTACCATCTGTGTTGTGTGGTGTCAGTTAATATCATGGTATTCTGCAAGCTCGATTTTTCTATCGCATCAAAACATAATAGAGAAGAGTCAGCAAAATTATTAGGGCTCCACAGTTTGAGGCATTTGACTGTAGTGTAAGAGAAAAATACAGACAGTACGTTCCTTGGAGACTGAGGCTGCTGCTGTACCAATAAATGAAGCAGTTCTGGGACCTTTCTCCTACGCTGAACTTTCTTGTCTGTATGGTTTTATTGTTGGAAGAGATCCTAGTAGAGTTTTGGTCTGGACTGATAGCATTCTCCCAGTCAATTCCCAGGCATGGTTCTGGGGTTGGCACAGGGCAGGAACTGTTCCTAACTGGAGCTTTGATGTGGTCACCCTCTTTTGAAGGCTGAGAGAATTTAGTAGTGTGGCCATGGTCAGACAATTTCATATGGCTTGTGAGCCAGAAAACTGTCATATTTAATAAACTGCTATTGGTGTGGCTTCTGTCTGAGTAGATAATCAGTATATTATTCTACCATGTTCCCTTCCTTCCCTCCATTTTTCTACATCATCCCTATTTTTTTGCTGGGAGAATGATTCCAGCACTTTGCACTGGCAGAGATTTTCTGTGGAGAATGGAATTTTCTAGGACAGAGGTCCTAGATCTCTGTAAGGTTACTTGTGCCTTGTAAATAGATATGGTACAAAGTTCACTTCATAAATCAGTCTTTCTTTTTTGGGGCTGAAAATGGATTTATTTTTGACTTCTCCCATTTGCCTTGTCCGCCCTTTGACAGGTATGTTCAGATGTTTCAGTTCTAGTTTTTTTAAAGCTGAAATAGCACATGTGAACAAGTAACACTACACTGCGCTAGGCATGCCTGGTTTTTTACATGTTTTTTGCAGCACATTCAAAGTTCTCCTGCGCTTCAGGTGGAATCTCGGTGAAGAAGCTGAAGGGCTGATCTTGCAGACTGCAAATATTCTCATTGTCTTAAACAAAACTTTCCATGGGTTGATCCAAAGCCAAATGAATCCTAAGAAAAATGTTGATTTTACTGACTGAATCACCTCTCCAAGTGTCAGGGAGCCGCAGGGTCTGCCTGCTCACTGAAGGAAAGGGAGCTGTGAGCCAAGGGTGACCCAAGCACAGGCAGTTCCCTCACTAAGCAGAGTCCAGCCCCACAGCACCCTTGACTGTCCCAGATAAGGCAAAGCAATGAACCAGGTCATAGAATCATAGAATTACAGAATCTTTGGGTTGGAAGGGACCTTTAAAGGTCATCTAGTCCAACCCCCCTGCAATGACCAAGGACATCTTCAACTACATGACATTGCTCAGAGCCCCATCCAACCTGACCTGGAATGTTTGCAGGAATGGGGCATCGACCACCTCTCTGAGCAACCTGGGCCAGGGTTTCACCAACCTCATAGTAAAAAATTTCTTCCTTCTATCTAACTTAAAAACTACCCTCTTTTAGTTTAAAACTGCTCCCCCTTGTCCTATCGTAACAGGCTCTGTGAAAAAATTTGTCCCCATCTTTCTTACAAGCCCCCTTGAAGTACTGGCAGGCTGCAATAAGGTCTCCCCAGAGCCTTCTCTTCTCCGGGCTGAACAACCCCAACTCTCTCAGCCTGTCCTCACAGCAGAGCTGTTCCATCCCTCGGATCATTGTGGTGCCCCTCCTCTGGACCCGCTCCAGCAGGTCCATGTCTTTCCTGTGCTGAGGGCTCCAGAGCTGGATACAGGACTCCGGGCGGGAGAATCCAGTCAGGAGCAAAAGGAGACAAGGCCAGAGACAGGACTAGAGACAAGACCACAACATTGGTCCAAAGTCCATCCAGGAGGCATGGCCAAAGACAGAACAGAAAGCAAGCTGCAAGGTGGGATCCATCCAGGCGACAAGCTAGGTACAGTGTAGGTCCGATGTCAGTCTAGGACACAAGGCCAAGGGACAGGGCTGGAGACATATTCCTACAGTGTAGCTTGAGAGGCAGAGACTAAAGGCGAAGAACAGAGACGGAGACCCTGGACCCATGGGCAGGGAGTGTGGGTTGGGATCCCAGATGAGGCTGGTGAGGCCTGTTAGTGCCCTAAAACTGAAGGTAAGTCTTTACAGGTTATCATATTACGGTACAAAAGTGAAGAGTTTGAAGGTTCAGGACTTCAGGTGCTTTTGGAAATTTTAATCACAAGCACACATGCTTGAAGTTAAGCATAAAAGCTTTGTTGGATGAGGACGATAGTGGTGACAATCAGCTCCAGTGACTTCAGATGGTCTACTCAGATGCTTCACATTACAAAAATACTTATTTCTTGTACTGAATGAAGGCCCATAGCCAACAGTAAGAGTTTGCAGGTGTCCTAGTCTGCTTCATCTGTGTTTTTGTTGACTCTGTCAATCTAAGCATGGCCTTGGCAGGCAGGAGCTTTTTTAAACCTGTGCTAACTTTCTTTTATTGATTCTTCTATGTCCTCATACTTCTGAAGTGGCAAACAGACTCAAGAAAACAAAAAACTGAAGCGAGCTTATAAGCAGTTGGCAAACTGAAGAAAAAGCAGGTCTAAAAATGAAGCTAAATGCTTCTCTTTTTTCATCTTCTAGTAATTTCTGGGAATGTAAGAATTAAGGAAAAATTTTTGACTTGGCAATAGGTTAAATTTGAAGTGTATTGACAATAAAAATGGCCTTAACTTATAAAGGTTGAAAGTTTATAAAAACAGGAACTATAGTCCAAGTTGCTATAGAACTGGCAAGCTGTCACTTCAAAAAATTTATACTGTTTAGTAGTCACTGTGATCATATGCTAAAAGCCAATCTTAACACCTGACTTTGCCAGCTGCTGTGGAATAGAAAAGTTGTTTCTGGATCTTATTTGCATTCTGTGATCTGAAGAAGAAAGAAGAAGACATACTAAATTATTCCAATCTTTCCATGCCCAGGTTTAACTACAATTATTACTAGTTAGGGGCCAGGAGAAATTTTATCTCCAGACCCCAGATTCTTAGTCTAACAATGCTAATTGCTCAAATTTATGTTGAAAGAATGAGATCTGGAATATTGTTTGGATAATTAAGTGAAGTATTTAACTTCTCATCTTTTAAAGAAAGAAGTTGTGCACATTGAATAGCAGTGGAACTGTATGAGGTTGGAGACCTGTCTTCTAACAAAGTAGTATATGATAGAGCATTTAAAATATTGGCTCTAAAGCTGTTCGTCTGGATCAAGCGGTACATGAATGTAGGCTTCTTATGCAATGACACAGGGATAAATCACAAAATCCAAACAAATAAGGTAGGGGATACTGATACAAGATTTGCATATCTTTGATGGTTAATTGTCATTAGCTGACTGTCTAAGCCAGCTGAGCTCTGTTCTTTCACTGTATTAACACAACTCCCTTTGCTAACAGAAACTGGAGGCAAAGATGCTACTGCACTAGAGGAAGTTTATTGTAATTCTTGCACAAAAGGAAGCAGACGTAATTCCGTATTCTTAAAAGATGGATCAGCACTGAGCATTGCGGAGCTTTTACAAACAGAATAAAAATTTTAAAAGGAAAGGGAAAATGGTTATGTTGGGCATTCACTAGCATGCCTGTGATGGACAAAGATACTTCCATATAGAGGCTCTCTGCAGCACTTAACTTTTTAAGTCTGCATCATGTCACATTCATTGCTTTGTTTTAAAATTTAGCCATATTGACTCTTTTTTTATCAAGTAAGCCTATAAGCCTGTTGTAATCAAGAAGATAATTGCATTAAAGGGTAAAACTAGGGTGCTTGCAGAGGAAATTTTGTTTAAAAAAAATCACGCCTCTATATTTATTGAGATATATTTTGTTCATTACTCCATGCATAATAAACAGTAGTCCTATTTTTAAGTGTAGGATCTGCTCCAAAGCCCATCTAAATCAATAGAGCAGCTCCCACAGACTTCAGGAATTCTTGAGTCAGTTCGGCAGTGAACTTTCTGCAATGGTTCATAATTTTTAAGGCCGTAAATCATCTCCTCCACCAACTGAAAATCATGATTCTTTTGGTTAGAATGTTAAACCAAAAAGAGGTTTATATGCTCCTTCAGTGTAGTTCTGCCAGTGGTCTGTTGTAGCAGATACATTGATTGTGTAAGGAAAAAGATAGACAGGAAACATCTGAAGTAGAGATACAAAGATGAAAAAAAATCTGTTGTCTGAGAAGAATAATTTTTAATCAAGGGGGGGAAAAGTATACACTGGAAGTTTATGGGCCAAGGGACCTATTTTCACTCAGATTGACGAAGTCTGCATTAGGGGTGGTTTATAACAGCTGTTAGATGGTTAGATGGGGAAGAAATTCTCTTTTAAAAAAAATAAATTAATGAAATACATGTTTACCACTTCCTGCTTATTTCAATGGTGTCTTTAGGATTTAAAGTAACACGAGTTTATATCTCACCAGTAATACCATAGAAAATATGTTATCCAAGAGTATCAAGTAAACAGTGATATGCAGAGATTTAGAGTAAAAACTACAAAAACGCATTATTTCCCTTCCACAGACAAGTGCTAGTTTTTTCTTTTGAAAAATTGTCTTTGCTAAAGAAAACGTTTAAAACT